TCGATTTCCACGGAAATGGACGGAAAACCAAAGGAACTTATGTGACACACCCACACTTATTTAAGAGCTATCATATAAAAGTATATACACATATATATAAACAGTTTACATAAGGCTAGACATTTGCCATACCCCATTTTCCGATGCTCTCTATCTCCTTCCACCCGATATCTGATTTTTCCTCCCCCATTTTTTGGGTGGCTGCCAGTCCAGCCATTGTTTTCCTTTGCCATATATTACATTTAATTTTATGTTAATTTTATCGATCGCCTCAACCGTCGAAAGAAAAACAAGCGCAAATTTGTAATTTTCCGAATCTTTGCCTAAAGCAATTGAAAATTAGTGGCGAAAGTGGGGGAATTTAATGGAATATCCTTCAACACCATTGATTACTGGTTTTCATCTGGACTTAAGGTGCCATTTTAGATTGCTTCCGTTTGTTCCCTATCAACATGGATAACACAAATTTAAATTTAATTTAAACATGCAATTTTATAAAGAAAAACTTGGATGCTTTTTAATTTGCAGAGAAAAAAACTTAGTCGAACCAAAAATCGTATTAAAATGAGTGAATTTGTTGGATATGTTTAGCTTAGATGATTGTATTTCAATACATTTTAGTACACTTAAAAATTTAAGCCTAATATATATTTTTTGGGATACATTATAGTTCCTATCTCTAAGTTTGTATTTCTGTGTAGAACGCTTGAATATTATGAACATAAGGGATATTCACACACACACGCCGGGAGCATCAACACATAGACACACAGCCACCCACACCAACAAAAACAGCAGCTTTTCAAAGTGTTAACCCATTCGTCGTCACCTTTTTGCCCCAAACATATTTAGATAATTTAACGCGCGCCGCTCGTAAATTTCCACAGACACTCACACACACACAGAGAAAAGGAGAAAGGGCCTAGCACACACACACACACACATAGAGAGAAAGATATCCACCCACACAGACGGAAAGCAAACACAGACACAACTAAACCATGTTAAGCAAATAAACCAGAGAGTGGGAAAGAGAGAGAGAGAGTTGCTAAAGAGAGGCATAATAGCTGGAAAAGACAGTTTTTTTATGATAATTATGAGCTCTTTTACTTTTTTAGCATACATACAAATTTTAATTAGCTAAATAAAACCTTTAAAAATCACTTAAAGAGAGAGCGAAATGGAGAGAGGGATGCTGTGTAAGTGTAAGTGTAAGCTTTTTTCAACACGCCTCACACACACACACATACACTAAATCAATACTTGGAGAGCAAGAGAGAGCACAAAAGACCCTTTGAAAAACGCCGAACAACTTGAGATATTCTAAAGGCGTTTCGGCGTTTTGGTTGGTTGTTTATAAACACCTTTCCACCTTTAGCTTTTCACAGCAATTGGATTTGTTCGTGTGTGCCAGTCAAACAAAAGTTTGGACCAATTATCAAGAAATTAAATCTAATTAACGATTTAAATTTTTAAAAATACGACAAGGATACAAACTCTATAAGAACAATATTTTATTTAAAGATTAAGCTTTAATGTAGCTACAATTTCATAAGTAACCAAATAAAAATAGAGAATGTATAAACAAAAAGTAGTTATTAAAAATAAAAGGGATTCAAAAAATAAAAAAACATTTTCCACAGTCAAAAATCTCTGAAACTTAAACTTATAACTTGTAGATTTTAAAAACTATTTGTATTATCGCATTGCCTTAATTTTTGGTATTTATTTATTTAGGGGATAGAAATCCGTAGACCAATTAAAACTGCATTTCCTCTTCGCCCTTTTTTCCCTCTACGCCTCTTTTCTTTCTTCGCACCCACGCCAAAACAAAACTTCAAAAAAGAGAGATGAAAAAACCAACCAAAAGCGAAGAAATAAAAAATCGTCGCTACTTTTGCTGTAATTTTTCACACCACAAACACTCACACAGATACAAATGTTGTCACCTCATCTTGCATCCCTTTTGCGCAGGAGAGCGAATTAGAGGTTCCATTTTGATTGTGCTCTCCTCTCTGCAAGTGTGTGTGTGTGTTTGTGGTTAAACTTGTCACACAAGACGCTTGCCGTCTTTTTCTTGCACACGGTAAAGCCGCCATATTGCCAGCTCGCTCTTTGTCTCCTCTTTCTATGTGTGTGTGTGGGTGAGTTCGTACGTGTGACAAAATACATTTGGCTTCTTGGTGTTGGTGACTTGAGCCGGTTGCCTTTTCATTTGCACGCCTTTTGCCATCTCACTCGCACTCGCTGTGTTTGCGCTCCAGCTTTACTTTTGGCGACAACTTTTGTCACACGTCGACGTCAACTGCGACGTCAACAGAGGCAGCGGCAGAGGCAGCGATGTCGGCTGAGGCAGAGGTGAACGTCAGCGTACGTCACTGCTCTTCTGCTTTTTCGCACTTGCGAATTTCTCGTTTCTACGGCTAACCCCCACCCCCTAGCAAATCCCAAATCATTTCATTTACATTTTAGGGACGCATAAAAGCTGCCAAAGCGTCTAACAAGCGTTTAGTTTTTGGCGGGCTAAGGTGCGCAGGGGGAGGGGGGCTAGAAACAGTGAGTAGAGGGGCTAAGGTGGTCAAGGGGGTTAAGGGCGCCCCAAATGGCGAAAAGGGAGATTACGAAGAGGATGAGGAAGGCTAGAATAGGCAGAGGAGGGTTAAAAATGGTCAAAGGGGGCCTAAGATGGTTCAGAGTGGGAAAACATTATATATACAAGTCACAAGAGTCACAACATAACCCTCAAATAACCTACAAAGCTGGCTCCATTTATCATAACTTTTAGAATCCCAGTGAAACGAATGCTATTTTATGTTTCCGAGTAGATATAATCATTAATTTAAGGATAAACCGTTTTTAGGACTTATGCATCTGTTTTCGACCTATAATTTTGTTAGCTTAAAAGCTTTATAGCCCATAGCTGAAGGATGTATGTATCTCCGTTTTAAAGCTAAACTTTTTGCATTCTTTTTTGAGGATCGTCCTCATTTGGTTATTATTTTAGCAGCAGATATTTTGGGTACTTTTTGTTACCATTATAAATATAAGTGATCGACATTCATTTTAATTTATTTTAAGTTATTTCTAATAAGAAAAAACACAATTCTACCCATTTTACCAAAGTGATTTTACGAGCAGTGTCTTTGATTGTCTGGAGGTCATTGTAGGTCAACTTTTGTGCCTTTAAGTGCTTCTCGCAGCCGCTTTATTTTATCTCTGGCCGAGAAATGCCACCCCCTTTCAACCCGCCTTATTTATCTCACCACACCCCCCAACCACCTTCCATCCCCCGTCGCATTTATCTCACCAAATACCCCTGCCCCTTTCTTCTCCCCGGCCCCTCGGCAAACATTTGACCATTGAAGCGCATTTTTCGCTTGCGCGTCATTTGTCAACTTGGCTGCTTTTTTTTCATTATTTGCTTCTTTGCCGTTCTGCCGCCCCCCGTGTTACGCCCACTTTTCGCCTCACCCCCCTTTGAAGGTTGTGATTTACTGTCCTTTTTCATTTGCCTCTAGCTTCTGTTTCACTGGCGGTTCTCTTTTCTGTCCTTTTTTGTTTAATACTACTTTTTATATATTTGAAGTTTTTTTTATTTTTTTTGTATTTGTTTAATTTTTTTTCCTAAGGCTTTCTTGAGATTTTGCTTTTTTCTTATTTTTTCATATTTAAGGCTCCTTCTAAAATTTGTATTCTTTTCTTTTTTGTCCCTTTAATTTTGTATCATTTTCTCTTAGTTTGATTACGTCTCTTTTTATATTTTCTCCTCGTTTATATTAAAGAAATACAATTTTTCTAACAATTTACTTAATATTTTAAACTCTTTTTCGTTCATTAAATTGTTATTCTAACTCTAGTTTTCTCATCATTTATTGTTTCTTTTGTATCTTCTTTATGTTATCTGTTAGTTTTACTTTTAATTAACTATTCATTTGATATTTTATCTTCCGACTGATTTTTCTCGCACGTCCCTCCCTCCTTCTTCATATCCTTCTCTCCCCCCACTCCTTCTTCTTCTTCTTGTAGTGGTGTCAGCTGGCTTGTTACTTCTAACACGCTTTTTCTGCTTTTGAAGCGACGTCGCTGCTTTCGTTATTTTTCGTTATTTCGTTGGTTGGTGCCATTTCCCATTACACACACACACATAGAACCACTCACACAGATACACTTTCATTCACACTCACACTCTCGCACACGCAAACACACACACCTACACACAGGCGTCAACTCAACACTTTTGGTTCGAGTTTTTGCTTTTCTTATTGGAACTCCCTCTCTCTCTCTCTCGCCCTCTCACTCTCACCTTCTCTCCCTCTCTCTCGCACTTGCACACGCCCTCTGTCCGAAGAAACTCAACACTCTTTCGCTCTCTCGCTCGCACTCAAACACTAGCCGCATGCACCCCCTATACGGCCATCTCGTTTGCACGCCCATAAGAGAGACGGTGGAGAGAGCGAGAGAGCGCGAGCGGCGGCAGCGCAGTCGACGTCGCTTATTTTCGGCGTGTGTGTATTTCCATTTCCATTTCCAGTTTCCAGTTTGAATGCGACCGGCGTGTAGTTCGTGTCGTCATCGCCGCTCTGTCGCCTTTGTCGTTTGTCGCCCGTCGTTTACCGTTTTGTCGTCTGCCGCTTTATTCGTCGTTTGTTGCTTTCCCCCCTCGTTCGTCGTGTTTCGGCTCTCTCTTTCACCTCCTAATTCACCGGGTTCCCTTTTGTGCTCTTTTTTTTGCGTTCTCCTTATTGGTAAACAACAAACAAACAAGAAACAACTAACAAACAAAACAAAACAACATCTATGCAACGGCAAAATGAGTAAACTTAAAATTGCCAAGTGAAATTAAGAAGAAAAGCAAAAGAGAAACAAAAACAAAGGTTCATATATTTTCTACGTTTTGCCGTCGCCAAAACAAGAAAAGGCAAGCAAAAATTGAAAACAAAACAAAAAAGCATGCCACAAAAAAGAAAGGGCAAACAAAAGAGAGAATAAAAACGAAAATAAGCAATTAAGAAAATAGTTTCAATAAATTTTAAAGCCCCAAAAGCAAAATACGGAAGGCTTAGAGTCAAAAAAGCAAAACAAATTTTTATATGTTTTGCATACAAATAAATATGTTTGAAAAGCACTAAAATAAGGGCTGTAAATTAAAGCGTAGAATTTGTTTTTTAACAAATTAGGATTATATGCTTTAAAAACCAACAAAATTAGGGAACGGTTTTACAAATTATAATTATACAGGCTATTTAAAACAATATTATTTGGTATTTACCGCAAGAAAATCTTATATAAAGAAGTAAACTATTAAAACAGTAAAAATCCAAGCAGCAAAAGCCATAGATTTAAAAAAAATTAAAGAAGGGAAAAGAAATAGGTGAATAAAAACTCATAATCACGCCAAAAACATTTTTAAAATAGTGAAAAATCCCTATTAGGAATGCACAAATCCAGAAATACTTACAAAACTTAGTAGATAAAGGCAAAAAAAAAACAAAAGATCAATCAAATGAGCTGAAATACAATGCGTATGATACTATTCAAATAAAAACTATAGTTTAAGACCTCAAATCTGGGCAAAGCAAATGTTATTATTATACAATCCTAAGACTCGGGCAGCAATCGCTATAAATCCTTTAATAAGTAAAGACATTCAAGTTTTAATAAATAAACAATAAACTATTGAAAACGACACTGATCAAAATGTATAAAATGAAAACCAAAATCAAGGCAGGAACTGATTTAACACTCAAAAAAATCTCAAGCGGCGAAACCAACTAAAATTCAAATCCATTTTTTCTATAGCAATTAAACAAGAATTTTTTTGAAAACAACAACTGAAGAAAAAGAGAGTGCCAGTGTATGTCAACCCCATCCCAAATTAAAAATCAAGTATAAAAACAAGTACCTGTAGAACAAAAATAAAAATCATCTAAGGACATTTTCGAGAGATCCCTAAAACAGAGATCGCCGTGGGAAATCAATTCTGCATGACGCACTTGGTTGTTTGAAACGGTTATGTGATGAGATACGACGTCCAGGAGCTGCTACTTCATCAGTCTGCTGAGGATCCATTCGCTAGATTTGCCAATGGGATGGCATATCATCCATTTCTGCAGCTAACGCAACGACCCACTGACTTCAGCGTATCCTCGCTGTTGACGGCGGGTAGCAACAACAGTAATAATACTAATAATAGTAACAGCAGCGGAAACAACAACAACTCCAACAACAATTCCAACAACACCAATAATAACACCAATAATCTAGTGGCCGTTTCACCAACGGGTGGTGGTGCGCAGTTATCGCCGCAGAGCAACCACAGCAGCAGCAACACCACCACCACCAGCAACACCAACAACTCCAGTTCCAACAACAACAACAATAATAATAACAACAATAATAATAATAACAACAACAACCATACAAATAATAATAACAACAATAATACGAATCAAAAACAAGGACACCATTTGAGCACCACCGAAGATACAACATCGCCAGCTGGGACACCACCACCGCCCACAATTGTTGGTGTACCGTCAATACCACCCCCCAACAACAACACAGCTGCCCATCCATCGCACCACCCAACAACAACAACAACAGCAAGGGAGGCTCATCACTCACCAAATACGGGTGCCGCTGCACCACCCAGTGGCGTAACGGGCTTACCGCCACCCACACCGCCGCACCACCTCCAACAACAACACCAGCAGCAGGCCCCACCACCACCACCCCCCTATTTTCCCGCTGCGGCACTGGCCGCCCTCGCTGGAAGTCCGGCCGGACCACATCCGGGCCTATATCCCGGCGGCGGACTCCGCTTCCCGCCACACCACCCGGGTGCCCACCCACACGCCCACCACCTGGCCAGCGCCTACACCACCGCCGAGGACGTCGTCCTTGCCTCGGCCGTCGCCCACCAGCTGCATCCGGCGATGCGCCCCCTGCGGGCACTGCAGCCCGAGGACGACGGGGTCGTCGACGATCCCAAGGTCACGCTGGAGGGCAAGGACCTGTGGGAGAAGTTCCACAAGCTGGGCACCGAAATGGTCATCACCAAGAGCGGCAGGTGAGTCTATCCATTGCGTCTTACAGAGTATTTCCGCAAGCGATCTCAGTATTGGGTTTCCATGTTTCCAAATGGGGTATACAAAAGGTACTTATCACTAGGGAAATAGGTGACCACATGAAAATGTGGATTTTCCAAGCCAGGATTAATTATGGTGAATCGGTTTAAAGTGCTCCAATTGGTACCGATCCCAAGTTTCAATAGAGTTTCTAGTTACATATATGGGTATCCTATGATACCTAGATCAAAGTGTTCCAAGTGTATCTCAAATATATTGTCTATATAGAACTCTTCCCTCATAGAATATTTATTTATATGGAAGGAATCCCTCTGACATTAGGTTTTAAAAGAAGTTCAAGTTGTAGGATCCCCAATTGGAACAAATATTACTTGTGAAGATTATAATAGTATAATACCAAATTAAATTGTTATGTTTGTAAGAAAACATATGTGTTACAAGGTGTCATGTCCTAAATCGGTATTCATATTATTTGACAGAGTTTTGAGTGCCCATTTAGGGAAAATGTATTTCCATTGATATGTGCCGTATTTAAAAAGGTTAAACTAAAATGTGTGAATATTTAATGATTATTTGTCAAAAATCTGCGCTAAGTGGAATTAAAAGCTTACAATATTTGTATTGAACAAATTGTGAAAGCAATATTAATGGTTCAATAAAATTGTTTTTTTTTTGTAAAAACCAAATTCTATATAAATAAAAATAGTATTTTGGAAATGTTTGCTGCTATATTGGGTTTTCTCGAGCTTTTGGCAATCGAGGACACAGATCTCCGGCCGTTGAATCTCGAGGCGTTCCCGGGCCGAAGGTCAGGTCACAACCTTTGGGCACTTGAGCACGTGTGGCGACGTCTCAAGCTCCCATTTAGCCGTTAAAAACCGCTCCCAAGTTCCACGCCCAGTTGAGCTGAAAGTAGGTGAACAGACGCCCCTGTTCTTCCCCTTTTTTTTTTTTTTTTTTGAATTTTTCCATTTTTCCAGCATGTCATCAGCCTCAGAAACTCAGACTCTCTCCCTCGAGAAGATGATGATGATACGATGATGATTGTATGTCGACGACGTTGACATTCAAGCTGCGTTGGCGCGTGAAAATGCGTTTTGAGCTTCACACCTACTTGAGAAAGTATTCACGGAGACGCACACATGCTCAAAGTGAGTGTGGAGTGAGTGTCAAGTGAGTGCAAGATGTGGCAGCTGTGAATGCACTCAAAAAAGTCCCAGATAGTGCCGTCTCACACTTGGCAAAAATTCAGGGCTAAAAGGCAGTGCTTCCTTTTTCTATATAATAAAAAAGAGTGATTCCTTAATTTAATATTTTGGTAACAGTATTTGTTTCTAGTCATAAATATGAAATATCTAATATGTATAATATGCATATTAGTTATTTATATATCAGATAATTCATCTTTATGATTAGAAAAAGGCTATTTTCCAAAAGTAAGAACATCTACAATTGTGTAATATTAATCCTAAAAATAAGTATAAATTTTTTTATTTTCTTTTTTATGTCCTTCAATTACTCTTTCATTTTTACGGTGATTCATTGCCCACCAAGCCAAATTCAATTAGCTTCTGTTGTTGCTTTTTTAAGCTACAAATTGCCTGACGCCTCGGCTAAGCTTCTTTGGCCAACGCCTTCACCGCCCCTTTTTCTATATATATTCACGTATATATATATGTATATATCCATATAGTTTCAATGCCAGTCTGGCGGCGTGGGCGTGGCAACAACACCAATAGAAAGTGGAAATAAGCGCAAAAATAAAATATTTGCAAATAGTTTTGTGTGCTGAAAGTTGCGAATACGTCTGGCCAGGTGTCTAGGGCCCCTGGCCACGCCCACTCGCCGCCAACCGCCCACGCTTACGCCCCCAGTTTTATGCAAGTAGTTGCATTTTGTTGTTGGTTGTTCGCACTTGGGTAAATACACACGCAAAAAACACAAAACAAAAAACTACAACCGCAAAAACAACAAAACACACACCAAAAAAGTTGGTGAAAATTATATTTTTCGAGCTTAAGGAGAAGGGAGTTCCTGGCCATATCCTTAAGCTCATTAGCAGTTTGGCGACTTGAAGTGTGAAACTAAACGAAGTGCCCTAGCCATGGGCATAAAAAACCACTACAATCATACAACACTTAAAAAAAATCCTTTAACCAGTCCCTTGAGTTTCCGCTTTAAAAAATGTGCACTCGGCAAAAATGCAATTAAAAGATTCCTCTTATTTTAGGAATTATAAGATCATATTGCATTTATACATATCCTAGCAGCTAGTTAACCTCTTTGAAATGTTTTAAGTATTATTCCTTAAAATTCCCATAGTTTTATATTGGGTCTGGAGTTTCTATAAATTGTATTTGCAAAAGTGATATGTGGTAATATGTACTTTAATACTAATAGTTCGCTATAAAACTGGATAGTCTAGGCTTTTAAAATTAATAATTAGCGAAGAAGAATAAGCTTGCAAATGGTTATAATAAATATTATGTATTCAAATTGTAGATTATACAACTACCATAATATTAAAAAATATATTACGTTGGATGGATGATATGCTAATGCAATTTTTTCTCTGTTCTTCTGAGTTCATGACCCTGCAAAAGGGGCGAGGGAAAAAGGGGGAGTGGCTGGGGCTTGCCCCAAAGTGTGGCATGCAATTGTTGCAAGAAGGGGGAGGGGGCCGGCCCTAGATGAGGAATGGGAGCAAGCAAGATGGGGAGAGAGCGAGAGAGGCAGAGAGAGAGAAAAGGGGAACCCCCGAGTGGCTTGTAAAAGTTTTAAGTACTTGTACCTAGCACACATATGGAGATTAAGGCTGTATGTAAGTTGCAACTTTTTTGTACGCCACACACTCAGTTGTTGTTGCTGCTGTTGCTGTTGCTGTTATTGTTGTTGCTGTTGCATGCTTGCGAGACGTGCGAAAAAAAAAATAAAACAGGCAACAACCAAATGGCAAAACAGCAAACAGAATTATTGTTGCCGCTTCTGTTGCCGTTGCCCCATCATCATCAATGTCAAAATTATTGTTTTTCCTGCCGCCCCCTTGGAAAACACCACCACCCCTTTTTTTTCGCCTCTCCATGTGAGTGCCACTTGAATGTTTTGCGAGTGGATTTGCATTCACTTGGCTCGATTCAATCACTTTTTTGTACTTCCCATTTTATTTTTTTTTGCGAATTTTGTTTCGATTCATTGATGCAATGATTTGAGGTTTCTGGCTGTAGTTTTTCATTCAATAAAGTTATTAACGTGTTTGGGGCAGCTGAAAATAAATGAAAGCTGGAAAATAAGTCATGTAACAGAATCATTTGTAAAATGCTGTAGCTTGTATTTTAATTTAGATAGAGAATTAAGTTATAATGATGTCCATATTGTACCCTTTCTTTATTCCTTTTAAATTAAAATCAACTAACTTTAATAATTTAAAGACTATAATTATAGTTCTGCCCATCGATTCCATTAGTTTTCTCCCTTTTTCACAATTTGTCGCTGGCAATCAAATCGTTAAAGCAAATTGCGTGAAATCTTTCTGCGTTTTGCAGCTTGTTGCTGTGACTTATCAATTAATTGAAATTGCCGTCTAAGCGCAAATAAATAAAGTCTCGTCCCCGCTTTTTCCACACCCCTGAACACTTGGCGACACTTTCAGTGCGAAAGTCAAGCAAATAAGATTTGAAATACAAACAGCATGCCAGCACACAGGGAAACCATTGAAAAAATCTATAGAAAAAATGTCAAAAATTATCAAGTGTTGACCCCGCGTAGAAATGAGATAGAGAAAAGCAATAAATAGCCCATTTATAAAGATGGTGCGAGAGTGCTTTGATTTCGCAAGATTCTAGCTAATTGAAAGTGGCAATTTATAGGCGTAGAATCTTTCCTTGAAACCCCATTCTATAAACAGAATAGCTAGAAACTCAATATGAATTTTATATTCCCTGTTGTAGATTATTTGGATTGTGCACAGATATTTATATTCGCTTTCGAGAGCTATTAGATAATCTTTTACCATAAATTTTCTCCTGTGTATTTATCGTGCCCCCTCTAAATTTCTAATTGATGTCAGACTTTGTGCCAGGCATGCGATAATGTGACAGACAAAAATATTTAATGACACGCCAAAGGACACACACTATGCCACTTTTCCCCCGGTTTTCTTTTTTTCTGGGGTCAACCCCTGGGCAACCGCCTGTCAAAGTTCACTTGTTTAATTTTCATAAATAAAAATTTTCCGTTTCCTCCATATTTATTTTTTTTGTATATTTCTCCGTTGCTTTTTCGTTTTGGGTAAAAACTCAGCTGACGGCGACAAAACGCAATCAAAGTGCACTGGCCTGCCCCGCCCCCTCACGCCCACCTCCTCTAAGCCGTAGGCTCAATTAAATGGGCGTGTCTGCCTACTAGTTTTTTTTTTCCGTTTTCGTTGTCCTCCACAAAGTCATTAGCGGGCGGGGTAAAGGGGTCAATTGGGGGTTGAGGACGAAATTTTGTTATAGTGTACAACCCTTGAAGGACCACCCATCCAGCGATTTTCCCTGCTCCACCATCTTGGAAACGTTTTTCATAATTGTGTTAAAATTGTCGTCCTGCAAAGGGGCTGGAAAATTATCGATGTGCTAAGTTGACAAATACGCAAAAGGTTAAAGGGGGTGCCACGAAATAAAAGGAAAGCCCCCCTTCTAAATTACACTTAATTTGCTTAGCAGCTTAGAAATTTCCTCGGCAATTTTCCTTTTTTTGTAACCCGCACCGAATTCGCTTGACAATTTTCAGCTTAATGAAAAATGCATAATAATTGGCATAGCGATAGATAGTTCCTCTACATATGGTATATATGGTATACATATACATATATCCTTAGGGTATCGCGGTACTTCTTGGAAAATTCATGAATCCTTTGGATAATTTGCGCGTAATTTGATTTCAAATTGATTTCACCGGCTTCGCAGGATAGAGCTTATGGGAAATCGGTGGGATCCAA